CATTCTGGTGTGAAAACTCATTTGTCGTACCCATTATACTTTCATTTGGAGTTTATCTTGAGTATCCAATGAGCCACCAACTGTGAAAATGATTAAATCTACAAAATCTATCTAATAGATGGAATAAATTAGGTGTTTAAAATCTCCACACACACACAGGCGCATGCACACACACGCCGGCATATGGGGGACAAGGTTTGCTCCCGAGCTGGTCCCAAAACCCCCAGCACCTGGGGGATGCTGGACCCGGCACCTGCCAGGAGCCAGGTTTTGCAAGGGAGAGATGGTCAAATCGGGGGGGGTTGGGGCTGGAACCCCCCACCAAGGAGCCCCAGCCCCCCCAGGGATCCTTCCCCTGCTGCCAGGCAATTTTAGAGGCTCCCAGGCAGCGCCAGGTACCCGGGGGAAGGGGACTGCAGGCACTCAGCTTCCCTGCGGGGACGCTGGGGAGCGCCTTGCTCCAAATGCCACAGGGACCAGCGATTCCCGATGCCTCCGTGTGCCGGGCGGCAATGTCTCTGCAGAAGAGCTGCGCCATCGGGTGCATTCAGCACACCTAACGAAGTCATTGAATCGGTCTGCAATGCCTGTCTCAGTCCTGCTCCCAGTGATGCTCCGGCACGGTGCCCGCAGCTGCCTGCACGCGCAGGTGTGCCCGGAGGAACCAGGCACGGCGTTAAAACCAGCATTGAGGGGGAGGCTGGGGCACTGGCAGCTGCAGGCCTCCACGTCACCCCCCGGGCAGCAGCGTGATGTTTGGGGAGACGCAGCAACCCTCTCTGTCCTCTCCATCAGAGCGGTGCAGCAGTAATTTAACAGGCAGAACGGCAGAGCGTTCACCAGCCATTCCTCCCATTAAGCTAATGTTATGGGCTTTTTACAGGTGTCTTAAATAGACATTGTTATTAACGAGTATATTAAGCCAATTAAAACCAGGGCCTTTGAGTAGGATTTAATGTAGCTGCTGGGAGATAGGAGGCATGGCATCAGCAGCTCCCTACGGGGGGACACGTGCAGGTGTGCGGCATCCTGGCCTGCACCGCGAGCCCCACCGGGCACGTCCCGGGCATCGACCGTTCAACCTCCGTAAAGCTCCCGAGCCTGGATGGCGCCTGCAGACCAGCCC